TCCGCTTCATGCATAACCATGGAGGAAGGTTGTAGATACATAGAGTAACCGCCAAGTGCTATGACTAGTGCTCTCTGCTGTCCAAAAGGATTCATACCATCTGTATTTAAAGGCGAACCTTAAGTTTCTAACCTCATTTGCAAACTCAAAATTCTCTATCTATCGCTCTCCACCACTGGGACCCATCACCGGGTGTCTCAAAGATATTGTCTACCTTTACGGTCTTCTTTATACCACCGCAACAACTTTATGCGTGGTCTTTATTTCTGAACAAACGTTTTAAGCGTTGTATTATAGGAGCATACCACATAACCTTGGCAGGGATTTTCTTTCTAGGACGTTGTTCACCCTCGACGTCACCAGATCATCGCTACCGATCTTATACCGCGATGCTTTACATACCGGGCATTCATCCAAATTCTCGTATTCATTGCCATGGTAGAGGATACAACATTAGGACATGCATGTATCTTCCGGATTTTTAATCCCAAAGGGCGGATAACCTTTTTTGCTTCAGACGTAGTGGTGGGCAATTCATTTGGCTTCGGAAGCATCTTCTTTATGAGGTTTAATAAATTCCCAAATGCCTTATTGGATACACCATTCTTTGCCTTCCACCGTAGCAATTCCAAAGTTGTACCCAGCTTTTTTGCCCTCTTCGCCATCGGGTATAGCAACTTCCTATGATCCTCAAGCATGCGCTCCAACTTAACTTTCTCTTTTCACTTTCCCATTCTTGTTGTGCATCACGAATGGCATCGCCAAGAGCATCACCGAGATCATCTTCTACCGCTACCTCTTCTTCATCTCCCCCATTGTAGTATCATCAAAGGCACCATCTTCGAGCAATAATGTCATCAATGTCTAAATCTTCTCCTTCACCTTCTTCCATCATGACCCCGCTTTCTCCATGCTTAGTCCAACATATATAGTTTGACATGAAACCCGACTTAAGCAAATGTGAATGAAGACTCATTGAGCTTGAATATTCCTTTAAATTCTTACATAGGGCACATGGACAAAGATATGAAACCATCCCGCTTATTTGCCTCGGCCACACCTAAGAAATAGTGCAAGCCCTCTATAAAGTCTTGGGAGCGACAATCGGCATTGTACATCCAATGGCGTGACATAATCAGATTACCGACAAATTATGAAAACCTTGAACATAATTAAGTATTTTATTACACAACATAAATGACACACACACACGGTTGATTAATTAACTAAGCCCGGCTACAACGTAAGCAATCCCAACTATCACTAAACAAACTAAAACTACAATGCACTTCAAGAATATAATTATTTTGTGATCGTGACGCAACTAAAAAACAGACAAAATCATTCTTCCATTGAATATCAATAAGCTTCTCCTCACTCCTCATCGCCTCATCAAGAAGATCCGCTACCTCAAGCGCACCCAAATTCTGCACACGTATGTAGCATAATCTTCCTCCCAAGACCAACCATCGCATCCATTGCCCTCCCACTTTGAATTAAAGTCAAAAAATATTTAGTCAAAAATATTCAAGAAAAGCGTGTCAATTAGCCATAATTATAAAATGCGTAAGAAACTCACATCATCGATCCGGCACTTGTAGAAAACACGACCCTTGTTGGGTCCCTGTCTCTTGACTCGGTACTCCATCACAATCTTCCGCTTACACTTGCCGCAGATAATGAGAGGGAGTTCGCCCTCACCAAGTTTACATAGAACCGAACGAGAGGCCGAGGATCCAGTAACAGTTGTCATCTACTTTCTATACTTATTTTTGCAAACTAGTGTAAATTTCATATTTTCAAATATTCATCAAATTATAGCTCAAAAACATGTTTCAATAAATAACCATCCGTACTAGTTGACCTTGCTTACGTGATCATCTCGACGAGCATTTCTCCACCGGACGGCACCGTACTTGGCCAAGGAAGAGCTCCGATTCTACGAGAAAGGGAACACGGTCTTCCACGACCGCTGCCGCTCCCTCGTAGAATCAAAGCTCCTCCTTGACGTCCGTTACCGCTCGGCAGAGAACATGCTCGCCGACATGAACACGGTCCGCAAGTTCAACTAGTGCGGATTTTCTACAATTTTCTAACAATTTTCTAAGTTTTTCATTTCATGGAAAAATTAATTCTAAGATCACGTAAGCCACCGGGGACGAGAATGGCGCGTGCTCCAGCGAGGACGAGCGAGGCGTGATTTTGATGAACTAATTTAACTTTTGTTTATCCAAACATATATGCAAATCATCATGTGATTTTGAGCTAAAAATGACATATAAAATCATAATAAAGTCCAACATATAAAGTTACACATGCATCTACATCGCAAAATGAGATAAGCTACCGATAAAACATAAGAGGATTAAGTTTGTTACCTCCAAAATCAAGAGCAACACCAATGGAGGGGAGAGTGCAAGAACAACAAAATTTCAAGAACAGAGGCGGTGAGTTTGAATAATGGAATGGCTCGGGCTCGGGAGGAAGAATTGAGCAGTAATTATAGGTCGGGATAATTAGTCCCGGTTAGGGGTCCAAACCGGACTAAATATTAATCTTTATTCCCGGCATAACCCAAACCGGGACTAAAAGCTTTAGTCCCGGCTGGTATTACCAACCGGGACTAAAGGTAACCTTTAGTCCCGGTTGGTAATACCACCGGGACTAAAAGATCCTCGCCTTGCATGACGACGACCATATAGGCGGGGACCTTTAGTCCCGTTGAGATTACTAACCGGGACTAAAGGGTCCTTTAGTCCCGGGACAAAAAATGCCGAGGCTAATGCTAAATTGGGACATCGTTCTAAAGTCTGTTCTCTAGTAGTGTCACCTAGATGGAATACCAAGGCAGGGGACCGACGACGACGCGCGGTGGCTGCGCAGAATCGATAAAGGGCGGCGGTTTAGGGTTGCGGCTTTGCTGCTGCTCGAGCGAGGGCGCCGTTTCAGGCGTGGATGGATGGAGGCGGTGGGTGCATAGGGGCGCTATTTAAGGGGGAGCCATGCTTGGGGCGCATGCCAAGACGTGGCGTGGCAGAGGAGGACTCGACAGTGGGAGCAGTGTCCATGCTGGACACGAGTTGGAGGAAGGAGACGACGCCGACCGGTGGGCCCGGCGTGACAGCGGATGAGAGCGCGGGGTAGGGCTATCTACCAAACAGAGAGGGAGAGGGGAGCGCCCGCACTCGGGCTTAGGCTGCTGGCCGCGGCTTTGGTGGGGAGAGGGGAAGCGGGAGCAGGCCGACCTGCTGCCGGGCTTGGCCTGGAGGGGAGCTAGGCCACGGCGGAGGCATGGGCCAAAACAGCCTGCGACGAGGAAAACCGGACCGGCGGTGAGGGAAAGAGCGGAGCCGGGCCTGCGAAAGCTAGGCCGAGCTGGGCTGCTCGGGCCAAAATCAAGGGAGGAAGAGAGGGGAAAATAAAACTCCTTTCCTATTTTCTTAACATATTTTTAAATCCAATTTAAACTCAAATTCAGTTCTTTTGCAAATTTCAATCAAACCAAAACATTACAAATAAAATATGCAGCAACATGTATGCACATACATGTATGTCGACCTATATCTGATTTTATTTTTAACAAAGTTATTATTTTTCTAAATTTAAATACTCATAAAAGGCATAATTAAATCATTTCTCCTATTTTAAAATCATGCAAATTTTAGAGTGTTACAGGAGGTAGGATTGAGAACTTTTGGATACGTGTTTTGTCTATTCTTGCCAAAAATCCTAGATTGGGAGACTTTATTGGAACTCTTGGAGATGCTTTTAGGCCCAAGGTCTTGGTATGTTCTGAGCTCCGGTTGACCTAGCCCGAGGGGCGCCGGCTTGTCCGTATAGAGCGAGCCCACAACATATAAGGGAGATGGTTAGGTTTAGTGCCACATCGGTAATTGATGGTGGGAGTACAACATATAAAGTGGGGCAGCCCTTATCAGACTAATCTTTTGCCTCGACGTAGGCCTAAGGCCTTGGTATGTTGTGTGCTTCGGTGGACCTAAGCCGATCGGGCCAGATTCTGCTACGCACCCTAGCAGGATTTTCTGCCCCAAGCGCCGATCAGAGTGTCTTGTTGCTACAGCTGCTGCGATAGCGTCATAATTTGATTATTTGCCATTGACGCCCAGTAGCACGTGCTAGGATCCTCGACCTTGGGGCCGTTCGGCTGGCTGGTTGCCAGCCAGCTGGCTGGTTTTATCTCTCACAAAATTACTATTCACGTCCTGCCAGAACAGTATTTTTCTCTCACAACAATCAGCCGGAACAGTATTTTTCAGTCCTGCCGAACAGGCCCCTTGTTCTTCTCGGCCAACGTTGCTCGTGAGGCCGTCAATGATGCCACACGTGCTTGTGCCGGTCGTCCATCAGATCTACAAAAAATGGTCTGGGCTTGGATTGGGCATCGATAGGATCGGGCCTAGATAATACCCATAAAAAAACTAATTATGTCTCTAAAAACTTCCCTTCCCTGAGCGTCCACAACAGGCGACTCGGAATTAAAAGCCTGCATTCACACCTTAAAATTTTAATGAAATTAATTTGATAAGATTCAAAATGTCATAAAGGCACTATGTATTAATTAGTGTGCTAAGGTAAAAGCCCCACCTCAAGTTAACATACAGATTATTAAAATACACGTTACACTCAATGGCTAAACCCATTTCAAATCAATATACATGTAACTATGACATAGTGAAAAATCAGCATCAACCCATGGTTCAACCCATTCAAACGAACAAAAAGAAGATTCAAATCTCAACCCATCCAACCCAATTTTCTAGTAAACCCAACCGAGCCCAACTCGCTAAGTAAATCGTACCATTTCCACCCATGCAAAGTACACCCACTTAAGAACCCAATCTATTATTAAACCATTTTCAACACAACCCATTACCATTAGCATCATGTGTTTAAGTTCACAATGCGATTGGCCGATTGCAAAGAGTTATTATTCTCTTTAATTCAGTAGGAACAACCTTGTACATGCATGTCTGTAGTCTTCACTTCAAATATTTGTTGAACCAGTCAAGCATGTAAGCAAGAGCTTCTTCAGCGGTTCTGACAGCAAAGGGATCCGTGGTATTATATCTGCAAGCAAATCCATGTGCAACTCCAGGAAAGATCTTGGCGAAGTATGGAATCTGCAATCATTGACAATGCCACAGATGTTCATATATAGGTGTAATTGGTATCCAGTGTTACTGTTGTTAGTAGGAACTCACCCCATTTCTTTGACGCAAGGCATTCACGAACTGGTAAACTAGTTTTGGCGGTGTGGACGTATCATTCTGAGCTCCAAGGATCTCAATTGGGCATTTGACCTCTGAGTTTTTGGAATAATTTAGATTACGAATTTATTAACGCAAGACTAGTTTCACAAAAGTCATCCCAAGCAACCAATGCACAATGCACAATGCAAGGCTGTAAATACAAAAAATGATGGGCACACCTTTCATATCCTCAGCCGTCACTGTTGAAGGATGAGAAAGGCAAACTACTTTTATATCGTCAGTTTTTGCTATCCCGGCACCGAATTTTCCTGGCAAAAAGAAACAATGTTGCAAGAATTATTATGTTAAATGTGTTGCCTCAGAAAATATTTTGAAAACGAAAGTTAGTGTGCCAAGCTTGGCGACTAATAGTGTTTGGTAAGTTGATGGCTTCACTCACCACCCCAGCAATAACCGCCAACAGCAATGCTCTTCCCTTCCTTCTTCAAAGCAGCAAAGAGTGGCTTGGCGTCTTTGGCAGCTTTTACCTGTCAGATCGTTTGGATACTCAATGAATTTATTTTTAACTCATGATAAAATGTGATGCAACATATTGTTAACAATGAATTCTTGTTACGATGAGCTCAAGCTGAAAATTGAAAGGGGTACGAAAATTATTTATGACAAATAAATGGAACAGACCGGGGAGTGAGACTTGATCCACTCTGAAATGTTTTTACTTGTGTCATAAAAATCCCCGTTGAAGAAATCCGGCACCACGACAAAGTATCCAGCCTCAGCAACTTTATCAGCGATCGTTCTGTATTATGAAACATAATCCAGAGCTAATTAGCACTCAACCAATTAAAGAGGGGCATCCTTATGGATAATGTTGTTTCTTACTTTGCAAAACACTATGTAGTGTGTCTCATATATAGGTCAATTTAAAGAATCCAAAGCATGGTTAGTTTACTCTTGAACACAAATTCAAAATCAAGCATCGGTGAGACATTAAGTAAGAGAAAGAAGTGGATATTGTAAAACGAACTTTCTCATTTTTGTTGAGATATTCATTCATCAGGAAGTGGATGAAATTGCTCTTTTAATTACATATTGAATTGTTCCTTTTGAGTTTGCGATACTGTTGTTCTTGCCCTTCCTGTGAAGGGAAATTGTGATTTTACCCCTCCTTTTGTCACATTATATTTTTTACCCTCATATTTTGAAATTAAAGGAGTCATTTTCCCTCACTCTAAGTTTTTGTTGAGTGTTGGGAGATTAAACAAATAAAAAAGATAGAACCACATGGCACGACCAAACTATCCCTTCCCTTCCCTTATCTTGTCATTCACATCACACTGGTTCGGTCACGCATAAAGTGACCCATCTAAACTGAAACCTAGCCCAGGCGGTGGCAGTTCGTGTATAGAGTTGAGGTGCCCTTGGAAGTAAAGGCCTGTGGTGCATGCGCAGGACATGGCTAGAGTCATACTGAATGCTAGCTAGGTGCGAAGAGGTGCACAAATATGGGCTGGGCAGTTGGATTGAAAAGAGGAACCAGCGGTAGGAGGTGCAAGGATGAGATGGCTATAGAAGCAGGAGGCACACGACTGCGACCTGCGCTCAAGGATGAACTTGTGGTCGACCAAACGCATGTGCAATGGGCCAGGTGAGTGGGACAAGGTTGCCTATTATGAGCTATGGAAGACAAGTCTATTGGGAAAAACAACAATCCAAATGAAAAGGAGGATATATGATGATGATGCTGACACATATTCACTTATGGCAGTAAGTGATGGCAGCTATGACATTGATGTGGCTGCATCATCTGACTCTAATGCTTGGTTACTCTGACCCTAGGTATGATCATCTTATATTTTCCTATAATGTTGATGATCCATGTATTGATGAGAATGTGGTGTTCCTAGGAGTGGATCAATGCAAATCATAAGTTACCAAACATGTTATCTTGGATGACCATTCTTTTCTAGACCGTGAAAAAAGACAAGTATGAGAGAAGTATGCAAGAGAGCCGATAAGGGCGGCAAATGGAATTTTTGCATCTTCAAGAAATCAGACGCGGCTGGTGATTGAGCCGCCCCTACAAATCAGACGCCATTTGTAGGGGCGGCTCGTATCACCAGCCGCCCCTGCTGTTCCATTTGTAGGGGCGGCTGGTGTCTGGGCACCCGAGCACGCCACTGTAGGGGTGGCTCCATCACCAGCCGCCCTTACAAAAAAATCGAACCGTTGCTAAAAATCGTTTTCTACGTAGTGATGTACATTGGATGCAAGGTGAAATTAATTTCTTTCTTACTTTTTTCATTAAGTTAAGTTCATCAACTTCTTGCATTCTTTTGCATTCCCTTTGCACTAAAAAAATTGTGTATTATACATTTGTTGGTTAAGACGAGTGGACCTAAGTACTTTTGTAGTCTATTCAACAAATGTGGTGAAACATTGGTGTTGAATAAATAGGTAGCTAACAGAGTGGTGGACTTGTTGAGGATGACCCTAAAATAGGACCATATGAGTTGCAGGATATGATGTGTTAAAATAAGTACTCAATGCATATTCTATATGACAGAGTTGCCAGAGGAATAATGAGAGCATTAGACATAGTATGTGGGAAGTATAGAACAGCTATGACTTGCTTCCTACCTATTAATTAAGATGAGCTTATAAGATCTGTACCTAGCAGCATTGTTGAGCTCGGCATGACGAAAGAAATCAATTGAGATGTGTGTTTTGGGACGTTCTTTGTTGCTTGTAAATCAAGCATTGATTGGTTTTTGCAAGTTTGACGGCCCTACATTGCCATGGGTGCCACTTGGCATTGGTAGTATACAGGATGGCCATAAGTTAAAATTAAAATGGTTTATCTTAGTACTATGTTGTATTGTTTGTAGACCGAGGTAGTAACTCATTAGGTGGCGAAAGTTCAGCCTATGAGGTGCCTATTTAATGACGCCAAGTCGCCAACGACCATCCAATCTATAAACAAGTTCTAAACTTAAAAAAAAACCCGAAAGCAGGTTGGTTGTGTATGTTGGCCCACAGGATCACCGACTCAGGTGAGTTAACCACTCACCAGTTTTGCCGAGCACCCGCTAGTGTTGCCGAGCACCCACTAGCCATGCCGACCACGAACAAGCATTGTCCGTCCCCACACACTATGGCTAGAGCTAGAAGAAAAAGGGAGAACAGAGCATGCACGCACAATACAAGACACCAGCGTTGGCCGAAGCCCTGTCTGTGAGATGGCAAATCTGAGCTCTCTTTACTGAGTTGCCGTGGTAGTCTATTTATACAACTCTATCCATCTAGTCCTAGTACAGCGCACATGCTGCAATAGTGACTAGATAACATACAGGGCTGACTCTGCGTCGGCCACCGCATGTGCCTACAGTGCTGCAGGTGAGCGGTTCGATGCCTGCACCTGCAGCGCCTACAGTATCACAGCAGGGGGCCTTTTCAGTGCCGCCTTCCCCTTGCTGTGTTCACACAAGGTAGCAGTAGATTATCTAACAATCTTCCCCTAATCCTACTGCTAACCCTTGTACCCCCTCCATGCCGATCATCTCCTTCAGCTCCGTGAGTCGAAGACGTCCGAGCGGCTTGGTGAGGACATCCGCGAGTTGCCGACCAGTTTCGACGAACTCAATGACGATCTGCCCTCCATCGACACAGTCCCTGAGGAAGTGGAACTTCACGTCGATGTGTTTACTCCGGTCGTGCAGAACTGGATTCTTCACGAGGGCGATGGCAGGCTGGTTGTCCACCATCACTGCTGGTGGGTGAGCTTCCACACCGGTCAGCTCGCCCAGCAACCGGCGTAGCCACACAACTTGGCACGCCGCTGTGGCCGCCTCTACGTACTCTGCCTCGCACGTAGATAGCGCCACCACCTTCTGTTTCAATGATAGCCATGAAATTGGGGCCGACTCGAGGAAGACGAGCACGCCAGAGGTGCTCCGTCGCCCGTCGATGTCCCCTGCCATGTCTGCATTGCTGAACACAGTGAGCTGTAGCCTACTCTTGCCGGTCTTTGGGAAGATGATCCCATGATCTACCATCCCCTTGACGTAGCATAGTAGCCGCTTCACCGCAGCCCAGTGATCCTCTCTGGGATCCTTCATGAAGCGACTGACATAGCCCACGGCGAACGCAATGTCCGGCCTCGTGTGGACTAGGTAGCGCAGACTACCGACGATGTTCCGGTAGAGTGTTGCATCCACCTTCGCTGCGGTACTAGCCTTCGTCAGCTTTAGCCGCTCCTCCATCGGAGTCGCGCATGGCTTGCACTCAGCCATGCCGCTCCTCTCCAACAGCTTGGAGGCATACGCACTCTGACCGAGCATGAGTTCCTCCTTCCCCTGTCTCACCTCGATGCCGAGGTGGTAGGAGAGTGCATCAAGATCGCTCATTCAAAAATGAGCCGCCATCTCGCGCTTGAAGCTGTTGATGTCCTCCGTACGCGCGCCGGTGACGATTAAGTCATCCATATACACACCGACCACGAGCTCCTCCTTCCCCCATCATTGCGTGTAGAGCGCGTGCTCGGTTGCGCACCTTTGGATCCCAAGCTCGCCCAGCTTGGCGTCAAGCTTGGTGTTCCATGCTCGAGGGGCCTGTCGTAGCCCGTAGAGCTCTTTGCGCAGTCAGAGCACCCTGTGCTCCTCTCCCTTGACGGCAAAACCTAGAGGTTGCCTGACGAAGACCGTCTCCGCTAGCTCGTCGTTGAGGAAGGCTGATTTAACGTTCAAGTGATGGACGCGCCAGTCCTTTGCTGCTGCCAAAGCAAGTAGCAAACAGACCGACTCCATGCGCTCTATTGGCGCAAAGACCTCCTCGAAGTCTATGCCCTCGTGCTGAACAAAGCCTCGGGTGATGAGACGCGCCTTGTGCTTGACAATGGCGCCGAGCTCGTCCCGCTTGACCTTGTACACCCACTTTAGGCTGATTGAACGGCATCCTAGAGGTGGATCGACGAGCTGCCAAGTCTCATTTTCCGCGATCGCCTTCATCTCCTCCAACATCACCCGTCGCCAGTTTCCATCGCGCTCGGCTAGCACGAACGTGGATGGCTCCTCTGCACTGACAAGTAGTAGCTCTACGTCGTTGAGCAGCCTGCCCGCCCGACTTGAGGGACCTTTGTCGCCGACGATGTCGTCCAGCCTGCGGAACCGCACCTCCTCACCTTCGTGGAAGGCGTCCACAAACTCAGTGATATCACCGGGAGGTGAGGTGAACTCGATCGGCGTCGATGGAGTTCCCTGTTCCACCGGAGTTCTTGGCACTGCACCTAGAGTGCTCGGCACTACTTCTGGATAGCTCGTCATAACTCCTGCAGTGTTCGGCCACACTGTAGGAGTGTCCTACCTCAGTCTTGGGGTGGTCGACACCACTGTAAGACGTCTTGGATCCACCACGGGAGTGCTTGGCACCCGTCCTGGAGTGGTCGCCACCACTGCAGAACCTCCCGGCACCACTCCTAGTGTGCTCGGCATCCCTCTAGAAGTGCTCGGTACTCCTCCCGGAGTGCTCGGCATCCCTCCCGAAGTACTCGGCACTGCCCCAGGAGTGGTCGGCTCTACCACCGGAGTGCACGGCACATCCTCCCAGAGTGCTTGGCACCTCTTCCCCAGCGTCTCCACCACCGTGGATGACCAAGTTCTCGAATATGAAGGTGTTGGTGAAGCTACCAGCTTCCTCCGTCCTCGGACTGCTCCAGTCCCAAGCCGCCTCCTCATCGAACACGACGTCGTGCGAGACAAGCACCTTGTCTTCGCGTGGGTCATAGAGCCGGTACACCTTGGT